AAAAAAATTCAAAATGAGTTGATACAGTTGTTAGCTAATGAGGTGAGAAATGCAATTGTCAAGAAAGTTAAACATGCAAAATATTTCGCAGTTATACTTGATTGTATTCCAGATGCAAGTCATGAGGAGCAGATGTTGTTAATAGTACGATTTGTAGATGATTCGGCAAACTTACCTACAGTTGAAGAACATTGGCTTGAATTTTTGAAGGTAGATGACACAACAGGACTTGGACTGACAATCGAGTTTCAAAAGGCTTTGATCAAACTCGATCTGGATATTGATGACATTAGAGAGAAAGGGTATGATAACGGATCTAACATGAGCGGGAAGTACAAAGGTGTGCAAAGAAGAGTACTTGAAATGAATCCCCGAGCTTTCTATACTCCATGTGGCGCTCATAGTCTAAATCTAGCGTTATGTGATATGGTGAATTGTTGTTCCAAAGCTGTATCCTTCTTTGGAGTGATACATCGCATCTACACTTTGTTTTCATCTTCTACCAAGCGATGGCAAATTTTTAAAGATAATGTAAAAGGGTTGACGGTGACGCCGTTGTCACAAACACGTTGGGAAAGTCATGTTGAGAGTGTGAAGCCTATAATGGAGCAAACTGCACAGATAAGAGAAGCATTACTTGATTTGGCATAAACTAACGAAGATCCTAAAATAAAGAGTGAAGTAGAGTCGTTGGCAACACATGAACTTCGGAATTTTGAGTTCTTACTTGGCATGGTAATCTGGTACATGTTGTTGCATGCAGTCAATATTGTGAGTAAATTTCTTCAAACCGAATCTATGGATATTAATCATGCTATCGACCTAGTGCAAGGACTTGTTTCATTTCTTGAAGATTATAGAGAAATTGGATTTGCCATTGCCAAGGATGAAACGACAAAAAAGGCAAATGAAATGGGAATTGAAGCTGTATTTACAAAAAAATGCATAATTCGAAGAAAAAAGCAATTTGATGAAAACTGTAGTAACGAGGTAAAGCAATCAGCAGAAGAATCATTTAGAGTTGAGTACTTTGTTTTTATAATTGATCAAGCTCTATCTTCTCTGATGACTCGATTTGAACAATTCAAACAATATGACGATATATTTGGATTTTTGTTTAATTTGAAGAGGTTAAGGGTGCAACTTTATCAAGTTTGTTGAACTCTTGTATGAATCTTGAGAAATATCTTGAACATGATGGGCTTTCGGATATCGGTGGAGATGATTTATGTTCGGAATTACAAGTCTTGAAGATTTATTTACCAAATGAAGCAACAAGAGCAATTGAAGTGCTACACTATTTGAAGACATTGGATGTTTATTTTTCAAATGCTTATATTGCTTACAAAATTTTGTTAACCGTATCGGTTACAGTTGCATCTGTGGAAAGAAGTTTCTCGAAATTGAAGTTGATCAAGACCTATCTCCGATCAACTATGTCACAAGAAAGATTAAACGGGTTGGCTATGTTATCAATAGAAAAAGAAATGGTTAAGCAGCTAAGTTATTCAGATTTGATTGATATTTTTGCCTCTAAAACAGCAAGATGAATAGTATTTAACTAATTGTTTGAAATCTTTGGTTTGATGGTTTATAATATAAATCGTTTCTATAATATATTTCGTTGTTGTTTTAATGTTAGTTTTTTAAGTTAGTAATGAGTCGCATAATACACCTTTGAATTTTGTCGATGAGGGGCCTAATTTTCATCATTCGCCTCAGGGCCCCTCAAACACAAGACCGGCTCTGATCACAACCCACACACTCCAGCGAATCTTCACGGTGGCAACGATGGCACTCTTTCTTGTGCAGTAGTGGATTGTCGCTATGCAAATCTATTCTTTTTTTTATTATTATTATTTTTAAGTTTGATTTCTCTGAAATGAATGCTATGGAGTCATTGTTTGTGGTGCTTGATGATTTTATTTATGCTTTTGCAAAGTTTTGGGGTGGTTGAGTTTTCGCACAATGACGACGATGATGGTGTGCGGTGCTGTGCTGTGATATTTTTGCACAAGTTCAAATGATGGTGCTGTAGTGGTAATATGGTGCAGTGCGATGGTTGTAATGGTGTACCATCTGGATCAGTGCTAGCAAGGTGGTGGTGGTATAGTGTTGAAGAGTTAAAGAGTTTGTGATCAATTATTTCGATTATTGTAATCAATAAAATTGGTCAATTTGAAATCAATAAAATAAATAATTTGTGGTCACTACGACTATTTATGTAATTGTGACTTACAAGTAATATGATAATTGACGACCTAAAAATAACTTGCAATCAATTAATTTGATAATAGGTGATTGAGAAATAATATGTAACCTATCAATTTGATAATTTGTGACCAATAAATAAATTATGATCGACAAAAATTTGTCATTTGTGACTATGACATTTTATGACTGTGATTAGTACATAACTGTAATCAAAATTTGTATAGTATTGTATGACTTTAATGTATATTAATTAATAAAGTATTTTTAATAATCTATTTAATTAATAAATTATAATTATGACCTGATTTTTGAAAGTTTAAAAGAACTTTCTTAATTTTGAAATGGTATATCTTAACTACCTTAAAAATGTAATATTCCTTTATTTTTAAATATACATTTCAATTAATTTATAAGTACTATGCATTTATTCATTATTTATTTATTTTATTTAAAAATTAAATCATTCAAAAATTCTTTCCAAACAGTTGGCATTGACTAGAGTCAAAAAAGATAGCCTAGTCGTTATTCCTTGTTCTTCTTTTTAATTTTTTTTTTAACTAACTATTTTGACGCTTTTTAACGTCTTTTTCAACGCACATTTCTAAATTACTTTGGTACATCAAGTTTCCGTTAAAGAGAGGAGAAAATCATTGAAGTTGTACTTGACGAGATTTTTATCTTTTATTATTATTATTATTATTATTATTATTATTATTTTATTTTATTTTATTTTATTATTATTTTTTTTAAGTGTTGGACAAATAATAATATGTTTATTGGGCCACTAAATGCATCGGTTCTACGTCCAAAGTGGCTCGGGTTAGCCCCTTCACCTTATCCGGTAAGCTATGTTAAACTTGGTTTTTCTATAGATGAATTAAATAAAAAAAATGTGTCAATTTTAGTTTCAGTTCATTGAAAGTGTTTGATATTATGTAAATCAAATAAGAAATATCTATAAAAGAAATCTTGTATATAATAAAAATATATTACGAAAATAATAATTAAAACATGTTATCTAGTTACTGTGTTTTGTTCATGTCTTCAAGTGCGAGAACTTAAGAGGCATGGCACATGGTAGAACAAACATACTTGTAAGAATAAGAATTATTGTTTCGATTTAAATGTAATCAGGGACGGATGTGGGGGGCGGAGCTGGGATGTAGTCCCCCCCACCAAGGACCAATAAATTTTTTTTTTTTCGTTAAGGCATTTTTCATTTTTTCTGTAAAAACTGTTTTTTTATGTGTAAATTTTTTTTTGCGTATTAGCCCGGCTTGAAATTTTGTAGTCGATCTTGAATCTAATCCTGGATCCGTCCCTGAATGTAATGATAAGTTTAGGTTCAAATCGTCAACTTATAAATATTTTAAAGTAAAAGAAAATTTTGCATTTTGTGTATTTAAGCTTTGTGAAATGTAGCAAATATATCCTCAACTTTTATTAGCCTAATACTTTTCGATTATGTAGCAAAACTCCTTTTTCCCTCTAGTAAACCATTAAATGACGAATTTTTCATTCTCTTTAAATAAATAAAGATTGTTGACCATCGAACTCCAATTTCATGAAAGTTGTTCATAGGCCCCACTTAAAGCAGATGTAAGTTCGGCTATAACCCTCCATTCGGATTTGCCCGCTGTAACCCCAAAAAGACATTATGATTGCCCCTTGTCACATCACTCTCTCAATCTCACACACTTGTTAAAACCCAAAGCCACCAATCTAAGGCCCGAAATCTCCAATCCCTCGCATGTCATCATTACCTGAGGAAACATTGGCACGTGTCCACCGGCCTCGTCAACCAATCACAAGAGGATTCGAAGACCCGACTTTCGAGCCTGGTACTATAGCTGATTTGACATAATTTCAGCTGGAGTCATGTATAAATAATAGAGAAATAGTCTTCTTAAGGACGTGACTTTTTTTACAAACTTATTACACAATTACGTCTTTCCAATATAATACGTGGTTTTTTTTATAATAAGAAGGAAGCTTGTCCCTTTTCTTAAAGTTGACTCTAGATTACTCTTTACATTTTTAACACCAACAGTTTTACGCTAGAAGGAGGGCTGCATTGTGAAAAATAGCCCTATTCTTCCCACAAAAAGAGAGTCATAAGTTGTCCCATGAAACTAATACACCACCTAGTTCTCCAACATAGTGAAATTAGAACCAAGCAAATGAGCCACAAATGACCGCTATAAGAGAAGCCCTGGAAAAGCTAACAAATGTTGTGGGACGATTGGAACATACCTAAGCTCACTTGTCCCCACCAAATACTGAGGTGGAATCCCTAGAAGGACAATGGCAAGGCGTTCCCTACCAGGAGGACCCTCCACTTTTCAAGAGAAGAATTTTCTAGAAGTCGAACTGACGAAGTCAGGAGCCAGGGGCCCCTGGCAAGGAGGACTGGCAGTGTGTTTGACAAGTTGGGAACTCAACACTCTTTAACCCCTACATGAGGACAAGCTGAACCCAACCTAAAATGTTCTCTGGAGCAAGCAGAACCCGAAATGAGCGCCTGAAAAAAAAGATCATCGACCAGGAGACCAAAAACAAGGGTAACACTGAAAGACTACTTCACCAACGGACATTTCCCTTTCATTGAAGATGTCCTTATTGAACTATTACCTGAAAAATGGAAGATTCCCCAAATGACCGTATACGAAGGAGAGGGGGGTCTCCTTAGTCACCTTGATAAGTACACCTCGTGGATGGAGCTACAAGGGGCAAGTGATGCCATCATGCCCTGGGCTTTCTCCCTGACCTTAGGAGATAAAGCTTAAAGATGGTTCAGGAGATTGCACCAGAGGTTGGTAAAAAAATTGGAACAACTTGGTCACCGCATTCCTAGCCAAATTCATGGGCTCAAAAGCCAGGACCCAAGGAGCGGTTAGTGAGCATCAAGCAGGGAAAAAGTAAATCCCTTAAAAGCTATCTGAGTAGATTCAATAAACAATCCATGGAAATGGAAAAGATATCTGATGACGCCGCACTCATGGTCGTGTTCGCTAGACTAAGCCCTAGAACGGGATTCTGGTGGTCAGTGTATGAGGACGGACCCAGAACTTACCACGAGCTCTTGAACCAAGCTAAGAAATACATAAGTGCTGAGGAAGCAACCTCTAATCAAGAGAAAGCTAGATGTGATCCCAACCTCATCAACGCGGCTAAAGAGAAAAAGTTGAATAACAATCCTCTGCCCGAAAGAAGGAAGGATGGGAGAGAAAGAGGTCGTCCTAAGACTCGGCCCTACAAGTTTCGAGAGTATCACTCGCTGAAAGCCTCCTTAGAAGAGGTATTCATGCAAACTGGCGAGAAAGAAGCATTCTACAGGCTGGTGACCCAAAAAAAGGGGCAGAGGAGACATCACCAAAGGCGATACTTCCGATATCATAGAATGGCGGGACATGACACTGATAGTTGTTGGGAATTGA